CGCAGGTGCCCGGGGAAACTGGTCTGAAGACGTCCGCCGGTGGTTGCCGTGCAACGCACCCACGCCAGCAGAAATCTCTAGGGGGATTTAAAAAACAAAACCAAACCGGGTAGTATGCTGGACCCTTCCTAATTGCAGACCACGGTGCGAGAGCTGCGGCGAAGGTGCTCGCGGGGGCGCGTCCCGCCTGGACACGCGCCTGGACCATCCCGGCGCCTGTTTTAATCTATGGGAGCCAGCGAGCAGGCGCAGTTTTCTGTAGGAACCGAGTGGGAATTGTTTCATTGGGTTACTCCTTGCAAGGAATTGGCTGTAGTTCCGCTTTGGAGATCAATGGCAAAGCATTCGTTTCGTCTGCAAACACTAACAACCAAACTCGCCGCCCTCCAGTCGATTCCGACTCATAGCAACCCTCTAGAGATAGGGTCGAACTGCCCGAGAGGGATTCCGAGACTGTGACTCTTGACAGGCATGAAAAATCTGGGGGTCTTTCTCCGGAGGCGTGGCTGGTGGTTTCGAACCTGCCGCCTTGCCCTTAGAAACCCAACTGGTAACCCATGAGACCACCAGGACCTGTATTTGCACGTGTATTTCATCAAATAAAGGGGGAGAAAACTACCGAATATCATGAAATCTAACCCCGAAACAAGGTTGCGCCTTCTAGTACTCCCCCAGTGCGCCCCCAACCCACAGACCCAGCCTCAAAGGCTTTGGTATTAAATGTAGAGATTAAAGGTGTGGCAAGTGGGCATTTCCATTAGGCTTTTCCTAGGCCTGGTGTTAGACACCAAGGGTGGGGAGAGCCGCAGCCCCAGCCTTGACCCTTCAAAGACAGAATCCTGCAAGTAGCTTGCTATACTCACTGAATTATGAAATCAAATGGCAGCCTATTATTAACATCACTGTGTATATATTTAAATATTAATATCTATATTATATACGAATACTTTTAAAAGGTTCCTTTTTGACTAGACAAGTACAGAAGTTAGAGAACAGAGCTGAAAACTTTCCATCAGGGAATTGAGAGCCGGGAAGATGTGTGTGTGTGTGTGTGTGTGTGTGTGT